ATTCTTGTCTTTCTCTTGCTTTTTTCTTTCACTCTCTCTCTTTTTTTCTCTCTGTCGTTGTCTTTTTTCCTCTCTATCTTCCTCTTTTCCTCCATGTGTCTCTCTCTTGTGCCATTGACATATCTGTCTGTCCTATGCTGCATCCACGCATCATAAATTTACTTAATATTCGTTGTATACGAGGAAAGGGAGGGGGGCTGCTAATTAAAATTTAATAGAAAGTGCACCGTGGAGGCATGTTGACGCACACATGGGCTGATTACTAGAGCAGTGCTCTTAAAGATGGGACTTGGTGCTGGAAATTGATCAAATTAGTGTGTGTGTGTGTGTTTGTGGGTCATACATAAAGAAAGACTTTAAGGAAGAAATCAATCAAAATAACAATTCAATTTAGGTTTGTGGGGGGAAAAAACAAAGCTGGTTTCATTAACTAGCTATATATAAAATGGATGAAAAGAGTGTGTGTGTGTGTGTGTGTGTGTGTGTGTGTCACTGGGGGATCTTTCTTGATGGTGGGGTGCCGAGAGATTTTAATCTTATTAACAGCCCTTACCCTGTTTGGCAAATGGCTTTCCAACTGCTTGGGTAATGAACTGTTTGAAAGCATTTTCAGCACGCACTAACATACATCAGTCAGACACATCGATGGATAGACACACACAGTTACACACCTTACACTTTCTCTTTCTCAACCAGCCCCCTCCCCTTTGTACTGAACAGGGGCCAGATTGCCAGCTGTCCTCACGACTCAGACACACGCACACACACATAAACAAACACACACACACCAATAACCAGCTGACAGTCTAGCACACTGTCTTCCTGTGGATGCAGCTTTCTGTTTTGATATAAGATGCTACAGCAAGAAGCTGAACCGTGGATTTAGTACCCAGTCATCAGTTATAAATGAGCACCAGTAGATCTGCTTTTAACAAATCCTGTGCGCGATTTTTGTGCCAAGTGAAGTTGCTATTATACTGTAGTTAAGCCCAGTTTTCTAGCACTGATGAGGTTGTTTTTTTTTGTTTGTTTCACTTGCCGGCTGCTGCATCAACAGATGGATTCCAAAGCTTTTCAGATACTTTTACTGTTTTCAATCAGACATGTTTTTTTAGACTGCATAAAAATGTCCAAACAGAATTTGGTGACTGTCAAAGTGGTCACAGTCATAATTTCACTTTTCAGCAGTGATGTTTGTTGTTAATTTCCCACGGTGTGCATAACTTACTAGTCTACCAGAAGGGCTTTCCTAATTGAAACAGGGAGCTGAGCCTAAAAACCCTTTCAGTCAGTCAGTCTACACAAATTCAACAACAAGAACTTGGAGGTAATTTGTACTGGCACCAGTAACTTTTTTTAGGTTTTAAGTGTCCATCCATCATTATTTATACACTATACTCACAGCCTGTCCCAACTCACGCTGGGTAACACGCAAATGCACCTTGAACAGATTGCCAATCTATCACAGGGCTGACACATACAGACAGACACATTCAACATCCACAGCAACAGGCAATTTAGACTCTTCAATCCACCAGACCTGCACGTCTTTGGACCCACGTACCATATCAAATAACTAAAGAACTAAAAATAAAATAAAATAAAAAATTCCACACATCTACTGCACAGACTTTTGCCATAATTATGCTCCTTTAGAGAGTAAGAATAAATCAGTCTCAGGTAGTCAGGTGCAGTTTCTACTTCTGTTAATTGCCCTGTACAAAAAATTAACAGTTTCTTTCCTCGGCTAAGCTGTTTCCCATTGAGAGCCCAGGATGGTTATTTGAAAGACGAAAGGCTTCTGTCCACAGCTTCTTCCCTCAGCAAAAGCAATTTGTGTTTTGTTTTTTGGTTATCTGGTTTTCCCATTAGATCATGTAACGAGGTGATTTGCCTCAAGCGTGCAGGTAATCGCTGGGTCTAGGGAATGATGCTTTCAAGCCGGTGCTCACTGTGTTTCTGAGCTAGATGTGCCAGCACCGAAACACAAACTGTACAGATACAAACCGATCCAAAACAGAGACACATTCGGCGGCGCTAACATTTAGACGTTCACTGTATCCGCTGTGAAGGGACAAACACACAAATTACACAGCACATTTCATTATAAATTAATACCACAAGCGGGACCCATCTCTTTCCTGCTTTTTTTGCCTCTCTTCTGTCTTGCCCCCGGTTAAGGAGTGAACCAATGTGACCCTCATCAATATTGACAAGCTTTTTCATGAATGAGCTCAGGGATGGAAAATGAACAAGACCTTGGAGAGAAATTGAGAGCAAGATGGAAGGTGAGACAGAATGCAAATGCTTCAGTGACCAAGGACATTACTTGTAAGGGGAAGGCCAAAAAACAGATATTATTCAGTTCTATTCCTCACGCATCTCTTCAGTCATCACTCCCCCACCCCCCGCGCAATGCCCCCTCTCTTTGTCTCTCCCCATTTCACTCACTGTACCCATCCATTAGTCTTTCCGGGTCTTTTTCTACTGTTGAATGTTCAAAATGACAGCACCTTGGAACAGAAGCTCCCTGAGTGCTCATTATCGCCTCGTTAGCATCGAAAATGATCATCTCAAGAAGGGAATGAGTCTTGGATGGGCGGAGGAGTTAAATAAATGAGATAAAAATATCTTTTCTTTCCGAAGTGCCTTTTTACTGCGCCATATCAGAAATCACTAAAGATTTGAATCTATTTACTTTCACCTACCTCTGGCACAATAGAGAGCTTAACTCTCTCTCTCTCTCTCTCTCTCTCTCTCTCTCTCTCTCTCTCTCTCTCTCTCTCTCTCTCTCTCGATGCTTTGATGGACATAATTATAAATTACTCTTTTTCTTTGCTGTCACAGAAAGAAAGATTTGAAAACAGCTGGACCTAACATTTTCTTTTCTCAGCCACAACACCTCCAAGGCCTTTCTTCAGCCTAACAATGTCAGAGCTACACCTATCTCTCTTCACCGAATGGCTGCACTCACAAACCAGCAGGAGCCACTACTGTTGAGTGACTGGCATCTGCCCTTGGCCAAGGTGGCCTGTTTATACTTGAAAGAAAGCTTCTTCTACCTGAAAGTTACAACTGTTTCTGAGTTTTTTCTGTTTATGTCAGCTGTATGTCTGTCTGCGTATAGCACCTTAACACCAAAGCAAATTCCTTGTATGTGTAAAACACTACTTGGCAATAAAGCTCCTTCTGATTCTGATTCTGAAGTGAGCGTGAGCAGCACGTTAGCTGAGCAATCACCGAATTTGTGTGCGTAAAACGCAAGACAATAGATTTCAAGTGTATTAATACGCAAAATATTCATGTGAATTTATCACAAGTAAAACTCAGGCCTTTACACAGCCCTTGTAGACAGCTGGATTGATTAAAATAGAAGTGTGTCTTCTCTGTCAGACGCACGAGACGGCGACAATGCAGGTGACACACCTGCTGTGTAGACACACTGTACCAAACAACTTCAGTGTTAAATCTTGCACCAAAATGAAAGGAAGGAGAAGCATCATGTCTTTTTTTCCCCTATGTTTTAGCCGGTCTACCTTAAATCACATTTATTTATGTCATGGTTAACCATTTTGCAAACAATGCTCCTGTGTTTCAGAAATTAGATTTTTGTTTTCTTTCTTACCGCTCCATCCATTTCCCTACTACATGAACATCAGTGAACTCAATTACCACACAACATAAATTTAATATTGACAAAATAAAAGCAACGCAGACTTGCTCTTCACCGTGATGAATTACACAACTCAAGCAAGTTTCAGAGGGTCACCTCATTGATTTTAATATTGTACAGAAATGAATGGAAACCAATAGTTGCCTAAGACAGTAGGAGAAATGCATTAAAAAATGGTAACATTTGTTATGCTAAAAAAATCCAGAAGAGCTGCTAAATGAACCTTGAGGTAAGAATAAATTACAGGGGATTTGTACATAAGGAACAATAAAATAAAAACTCTCAAATGTTCTCCCACAGTTTGTTTTATAATTTTAAACCTACACCTCATTGTACGCTGTGAGTTGCTCACCTCTTGTCCTCTTGCTCTGACTTTATCTAAAACTGCTGTATGGAAGTGTAATATCTTTAGATAATGGGATTTGTCCCGTAGCCAGGGGCAGATAGTGGTGAAATATACTCTAGTGTGTGACCGCATTTTGGTCCTTTTTGTGTTTGAGAGCATAGTTGACTGGCCAACGTAATACCACACACACACACACTCCAAGGTATTTGACCTGCCTCCAGCAGTGGTTTCTGCACAGGAATGTGTATTGTGTTTTTGACAAATTACCTTCCTTCCTAGTAGAATCCATATTAATGGCCAAATATTGTCTGCTGCTCTGTGAATTGATTCTAAAAAGTATTACATTGTATGCTCACATACACAGGAGGTCTACCTCTAAATATTTCAGTAAAAATAAATACAGACAGCAAATATAAAAACAAATACGCACAGCGTCTGCCCTTGCTTCTATTTGGCATATTGTCTGTGAAGTGTGTGTTATTCACTAATACTCATTCTCCCTTTGTGCTCCTTCTTTATCAGTATGTACTTCAATGTCTTTTTTTATATGGCCCATTGTGGCATTAGGTGCTGGTTAAAAAGCTATTTATTCTATACACACCCTCCTCTTTTGGCTCTGTCAACAGTGTTTCATTAAAGTGTCTCAGTAGTTTGTAGCCAGTGAATTTTTTCCCTCTACCTTCCGCTCCTGGTGAGGGTGAGGTCCTTGATGTCCTTTTTAAGGAAATTGGGCTTGACAACAACAGCAGTTAGTTTGGCTTTTGTGTTTTCCCTTTGTTCCTCCTTTTGATTCTGCACTGGAATAATGCAAAACAGAGGTAAACAAAGTGTTATTAACTTTTTTCCCCTCTTTTTCTCCCCCACTTCCCCTCAATTTTCTATTCTTTCCTTTACTCTGTTTCTCCTTCCCTTCGTTTTCTTCATACATAACCTCCTGTCATTTTCTCTCTCTCACTTCATTCCTCATATCTCTCCATTCAGGCAGTACTATGAAATGCTGTACAACACTGCAGATGAGCTGCTGAATTTGGTGGTGGACCAGGGTGTTCGCTACACTGAGCTGGAGTACATCAACGCCCTGTCCTTACTCCATCGCAGCCAGACAGGTGTAGGAGACCTGAGCACCCAAAACATCCGGCTGCAGAGGCTGAAGGAGATCATCTGTGAGCAGGCCGCCATCAAACAGGCCACCAAGGACAAGAAGATCACTACAGTGTAACGATAAAACAGGACAGGGTCCATATGGGGTGGTTGAGTTGCCTGGAAATCAGATAAAGATATTGGAATCATTTCCCAATGATGAAACCTCTGTCCTACAAATTTTTGTTTCAACTCCTTTAGCTGTGTCTAGCAGGAACACGTGCAGCAGATAATTGGGTCATGTAAGAGTAAAATGTGTAGGACAGGGCATATTTAAGAGTTGGGTTAGCAAACACTGAAATAGAGGCTTGCTCTAGACCTTAATCATAATGTCTGTGAAATCTGTTGATGGAAAGTGTTTCTTCTCCATTTTATATATATATATAGAGAGAGAGAGATTAGCCTATGCAGCATCAAGTCACTCTAATTGGGAAGCAGGGTGACAACCAACACTACTTGCAAACTTTGCAAGTATCTATGTCATGAGGTAACCTATATTGTCAATTTACACTTTTTAAAAGGCACAACAAATGCGGCACTTGCGCTCTGACTCCAACAGTCCCCCGTTCACTGTGACAGCTCCAGGCGATTGTCTTGGACACTCACCCAAACTTAGGCCCTATCTCATCTAATTTTCCTATTAGATCTAAACTGCTGCTCTCAATTACACCTCTATCTCTCCTCTCCTGGCAACCCCATGGGCCCACTGATTCTGTCTGCAATAACAGATGCCAGATTAGACTGTCTGACTGAGGCCACATCTTCCGCCTGCTGCCAATTTGGGTTGGTCCCCAAAGATTTCTCTAGCTGAGAATTGTATCATATGTATGGCTGTTAAAAATCTGTTTATCTGTCTTATTTTCCTGTATAGTCTGTGCCGTAGACTTGTGCGGCTAGTGTGGAAAGTTGCAGGTCGATTAACTTTTTATCTATCTTACAAATTGGCCAAAGACACAGTAATGAAGACATTTTTAAAAACAAGGACAGGGTTTCTTTCAGATGTTATATTTCAAGTCCAGTACACCACAGTGGAATGACTTTGCACTTTTTGTGTTAAGGCATGTGTGGTAATACATTTCACCAGTCATACTAGCTCTGTAAACTGAAACGATACATCCAAATCTTTATTTTGCCGTCCCCGCTACATGTGCTCTAGTATAAACTACAAAACATATACACTCAAGAGACGATCACAAATCACAAACTCCCCTCCCTGCAACCCTGCCTGTTTTTAGTTCATTAACTTGGGAGAGAAGTACTTAACGAGAGGAGGAGAGAGAAAGGGGAGCCTTGTCAATACAGCGGGCCCAGCTCCGGTCTCCCTGAAGCCCACAGAGCAATCCATCATAATGACAGATAGGCTAGGATCAATGGGAAAACAACCATGGAGCTGCTGAGGGCTTCGCCTACCACTCCAAAACGTACACTTTGTGTAAAATGTAAAATCTGCTCATTCAGCTGTTCACTTCAGAGCTACTTTTGTAACGTTATCCATGGGAAACTTTAATACATTGTTAACTGACTGTGTCATCATGTCACAGATACTATTACACTATTATCACTGAGCACACATAACCAATAAAAGTCTAGAAGGCTTATGTATTGCCATACCCCATGCATGCAAGTGCGAACCACTCCTGTTGTCCATGAAGTTTATTTATGAATGAAATATGTAAAATATAATAAAGGTTCATTTTTTACTTTGACCCAGAACTCTCATCTCATCAGAGCTCATCTACTTCATGTTTCTTTTTCTTTGCAACGGATCTTCATTTTGCACATCTGTTCGATTAAAGTTATCTCTATGTTTCAACTAAGAATGTATTAAATTCTATACATCGACGTGTGTCTTGAACATGTTTAAACATCCTCACTGCTCCTATGTTGAGTGTAAATGCTCTGAAATGTTTGTCTACTCTAAATTAAGCACCCGTGATTAGCCAATGCATACACTAATACACTAAAAAAATAAATTCTTCAAATGCCAGTGATTTGTGTATTTTGTTTTTTTTTCCTTGTGTAGTTGCATGACAGTCATACATTCCACTGGGGCAAGTACAGCTGACAAGAGTTCATGCATGCAGTAACACCTCTTCCACACATGACAGCACAGCCCATCACTGTTTTGATGCACCCGGGATGTTACTGGCACCATATGAGCGAGACTGATCCAAAATCAACACCGGAGGATGTACTTTGCCTGACAGGTGTAATGTGCTGTGTGACAGGAGCAAGAAGGGCTAAAGCACAGCATATTGGAATCATAAACGCAAACAAAATAACCGCCTGCGTGCTTGTGTTGTTGTGGGCATAAATCTGTTGGACTCTTTTTGGCACAGTGTGATTTTTGCAAAGCCTGACTATGCCATTAGCCCTGTTGTGTCTACTGTGAAACTCCAAATGCAACAAAAGGGTGACCCAGCAGTGTAAATTTAAAATACAGGATTGGAAACCTTAGTAGTTGCATGTTGACTGGTCTTTTAAAACTGACACTAATTAAGTTATTTTTTCTAAATCTTTGGATGCCTTAGTAATGTTTGTAAGCACTGAAGTGGCAGTAGCCTACATTTTAAACTGAAAAACAAATTAATCGTTTTACTTCTATAAGTACCTTCCAAAATTGTGTGTCAGCTTGCTTTAACGCAATATCAAAAAAATTATAAATTAACTTGCATAAACTTTAACAGTCATCACTCCATTAGAATCAACTGGATTTTGTGCGTTATGTTGTTTTGGGGGGATGCATGTCAAGCAAATGGTGTAAGGTGAGCCCTCAATGTGTTAATAAATACTTTTTACGTTTGCCAAGCCCTTAACAACACCCACAGCTAAACCGGGATTTGGATTTGGTTACTTCTGACTTTCCAGTGTAGTTGTGCGATTGTCCCTCCTCCTTAAACACCTCTGGAAGGCAGCAAATGTATGCCCTATCTAGGTGCTCACTTTTTCACTTTTGGGAGCAAGTAAACTACGTGACCCAGAATTCCTTTCTTCTCTCACACTTGTCTTAGCGTTGCCCAGCGACGACTGTGTACCCTTCATGTGAAAACCTAACTTAATAGTTAGCGTTAGCTGAAAACATTTTCACCCCAAAAAGTACTCACTTTGAGTGCTAAAGTATCTCATCTCCGAGTTTTCATCATGAAATAATGAAGGAAACAATGAGTCAACCGTTTTCTTCAGCGTCTCCTAGCTGCTGCCCCCCAGGGTCCCACAATGACGCTTCCTTTGCTAAGGCTCCCAGCTGCGAAGAGCTAGAAGGAAACAGAGATATGGAGGTAAGGAGCTGGATATCTTAGCTGGTAAAACATGTAAGCTACACGCAGTGTTTCTTATACTGAATAACTTATTAATACTAAATTAATGTTTTAGTTTAAGTGTCTTTCATTGTATTGTTTTCAATCATGACAGAAATTTAAGCTATATAATGTGTCATACTAAAGTAGAATCTGTAAAATAAATAAATAAGTCGGGCACAATGACTGCATATTAATGGAGCAGTTTGAATAAATATTTGTTGTTATGCTACAGGTGAAGCAGGTGACCTTGTGCAAGAGGTCTGGGGAAGTAAAACAACACAGCAAGGTCAAATGGTTGATTATTTTGAGTTCGTGATTGCTGCATTAAGAGCAATTATAGCGGTGTGCATCCTTCCTAAAGCCAAATGTTGTTGTGTGTGCTGCATGAACAGGTGCTTGTGTGCTTTTGGGGGGCAGGAAGCCGTGAGCCCTAGGTGTTGCTTATATTGGCCTCATGCCACATGCATCGACTACAAATTTGTAACCTGCATTGTTATTGCAGCGATGTTAGTTATCTGCTGTGCATTACGCAAGGGCTGCATATGTTAATAAGATACAAAATTGTATTTTTTTTATGTTTACAGAAGGATGGCGTTTTAACTGCTGAGGTGGTCTCCAGCTCTGTGTCCAACACTGGGCGCTTTGGCACTGTGCTGCAACACCTGTCTCTGCCTGTAAGACACTTACCTATACATTCAGCATTTGTAAATAATATTTGAAATGTATTTGCTTTCAAGTATATTGACTGTCTAACTTATCAGGACTAAGCAATCCCAGACAAATCCCTTTACATTCACATAGTGGTGTGTTGTTGTTATGTTGACAGTTCTTGCAGTTATATTTTGATGCAAATTTAGTTTAACCATGGTTGTGTTTTTCTCTCCTCTAGAATCACAATCTGAGTGACATCTCTGTTTTATGCAACTATGTCCATCTTCAAAAGCTGGAACTGCCACAAAACAAAATTAGAGGTGACTTTTTGTTATTCTCATATTAATCTAGCATCTTTACACCTATTAAAGACCTGCTCTTTATTTAAGCCTGTGACTCCTGTGAAAAATGATATAGCAAGGTTATTAAGAAATTATTTATTTACATTTGAATATTTAACTTTTCTTTTTCCTTTGATCAACTACTCTAACTTTTCTGAATTGCTAGATTTATCCTGTGTGAGCCACATGCCCTACCTCGTCATCCTGGACGCTTCTCATAATGAAATCTCCAACTTCTTTGGATTCCAGCCACCCAAGAATCTAAAGGTAACGGAGGACCTTGAGCTGACAGGATAAGACCACATTTGATTGTTGGCTTGGGCTTCACTCTCTTGTGCTATTCCCTCAAGATAGGCCTGGATTTCCATACCCCATCTGTAGTCGCTTTAAATATACTTACAAGGCATTAGCTATCCTTGAATGACAGTGAACTTTAGCTAACTGAAAATTTTTCCCTATACTCTATGGATTTAGTCAAAGAATTTCTTCAGTGAGATGTACTGGACTTCCTTGACTTTCTTGACTTTGTATGATAGTGTGCTGCTGCTTTTTCTTTCAGGAAGTCAATTTCTCCCACAACCGTATGACAAATATGAAGGATTTGTCAGCTTATTCATCTCTTAGTAAACTGGATCTGGGCTGTATCCTTACTGAGAGACATTTACATTCATCCATGTGCACGTGAATTCACACACCTTTGTCTTTGTCTTTGCCTCAGTCTCACACACTTTTTCCAAACCCTATAGCTTTTTTCTTTATATGATCATGTCTATAAAAATATACATAACAACATTTATATTCAACTGCATTTTCCCTTGTGTAATATTCTTAACATGCCCATACTACAGACAACAGTTTCAGTGAGATCAGTGGTCTTGAGCAGTGTTGCAGGCTAACTCATCTCAGCCTGGCACACAACAAGATCTCGAGGATCAGCGGCCTGGACAGTCTGCCTCTCACAAACCTCTGCCTTGTAGGTTCAACTGTGTTACAGTCAGAAATACGATATGACAGAGTGCACAGTCATACATAAACATTCATACATAGAGTACATTTAGGTACATACATACAAACGTGAATTTTGAACAGAGATTTCATTAGTCTTTCTTTGCCATTTTTTGGCAAGACTTCCATTTACTTGTATTGCATTGCTTCACAGGGGCTTGTTTCCCTCCATGTGTTGTCTAGTATCTACAAACACACACACACATAGTGGGATATATTTTGGCATTGTTCATTCTTATTGCATGTATTTTACCCGATGTATGATACATTTCACCTATTTCAGTTTGTCACTCTATTCTCTCCCCTCTGTCTTTCTCTTTATGTCTCTGTTTTTGGCCGCATTTTTACGTTCAGTAAAACCTTGGCCCCCTGTTTGAGACTCACCATATGGTCCAACAGCAGGCCTTTTCTCTCTCCTGTTCTCTCTCACTTTCTGCTTGTGTGTGTGTATGTGTGCGTGAGCACAGATGCGCGCTCTATCCTTTATCAGTGTTTCCTCATTGTCAGCAGCCATCGGTCTGGCTGTGTCTGCCCCTGTCTGTAGGCTTGCTTTGGGACCAGCTGCTGGTGTTTGAGTGAGCCTGGACCAAGTTCAGCACACACACACTCACTCACTCACACATACCTTGTTCATCCAGCATCCATCTAATCCCATCCCTGACCTTTCTTTCTCACACGATGCCTCCCTAAACAGCGCAGCCCTGTCAGCCTGCCTGTTTCACAGCCCATCACAGCTCCGACCTAGAGCTTCAGGGGACCAGCACCCCCACTGACAGCAGTCCTCTGCCAGGTAGCATGCTTGGCAAGATCAGGGTGAGGTGTGGCCAGACGGCTAGATAACAACTTTAGTCAGAGGAATGGAGTGAGAAGCAGGCTGGGGACACTGACAAGGGAGAAGTGCCCAGGTATGGTTCTTTAGTTGGTTAGCGTGCTGCGCTAGCACCTCGCCAGCTGTTTTGCTGTCAGTTCTCACCTGTCAGGATTTAGCAGAGAGAGGCAGGCCTGCCACTCAACTCAGTACTGGGGGGAAAGAAGGTTCAGGCATCCTGCAGAGCGACCATAGCACGTCCTCAATATTTATTAATGGAATTCACTGACTGTATATGAAGTAGAACTATGGGTTGGAGGCGTGTATACATGCATATTCATGAATATCACATACTTGCCTCTTTAAATGTGCCCTCTATCTTGTCTGTGTGTAGAGGGGGAACCAGCTGGAGAGGATAGAAGGATTGGAGAATCTAAAGAGTCTGCAGGTTCTTGACTTGTCTCTGAACCGCATCACCAGTCTTTCTGGCCTCCAGAATCTCCACCTACTGGGCTCCATCAATCTGGAGAAAAACCTGGTATTGATCTGAGAGAACATTAACAGCACAAATATGTCGGCCTAAATCTTACATTTGATTATGATAATTTACGAGATTAAAATTAAAGAAAAAATGTAGATTTGCACCACAGATTTTGTGGAAATAGGAATGTCACAATGTGTGTGTTAAGTTAAGTTAGGTGTTGTTGTTTGAGGACATTTTATTAGGATGCATGGTTGTTTTAAGATCAAAACCTGTCACCATTTTAGGTCTGCCTGCCATGCATTTCTATAGACCAAGTCCTGGTCCAGTTGAATGAGTTAAACTATACCATCACACAAAAAGTAAAGCTACTGATACTGACAAAATAGTAGTTGTGCACATCAACTTACGATCAATGCGTTTCTGATTTTGATAACTACTAATAAACTATTACACAGGGACACCACAGCATAAATTTGGGGTTTTGTTTCAGGTTAGTGAAATTCAGGAGTGCAAACACATTCATGATCTTTTCCTGTTGAGGGACTTCAACCTGCTGGGAAACCCTGTACAGGTAAGGTAACCCAACCCAACCTGTATGCACTCGCGTGTCTATGATGATTTACATCTGTTTATGGCTTTTTAAAGTTGATGGGGTTTTTACTGTTTAAAGTTTGACAAAACAGACGGAGTTTGTGCTTTAATTACAGATTAATTATATGTGTTTGTAAAATATGCCATGTGAATGTAATTGGTAGGAGCAACCTGATTACAGACTGGCAGTCGTCTTCCTCCTTCAACATCTGACTGTGCTGGACCAAGACAAAGTCACTGCTGAAGAAAAGGTATGAATAAACATAATGATTTCTCATTTAGGAATTTTCATGACCGCAGGAATGTTGCAATGTGCACACATGGTGTCTCGACACACCTGACCTCCATGTTTAATCAGGATGCTACACTGATCCTTTTTTTTACAAAGCTAGAATAAATGCCACCAAACTAAGTCAACTGTCACAGATGTGGGATTGCTTACAGTATTATGGCACTTGATAACTAACCTTAAATATCAGGTGTCATCCGTAAACAAGTATGACCCTCCTTTGGATGTGGTGGCTGCCAGGGATCACATGACCCACCTGGTTTATCAGCTGATGCAGCCCCAAGTGGTCTATGACAGGTTAGTACAAATATACAGTATTGTTTAAGATCTTAATTTGTTCCTGAATATAAAGCTCAAGTTAAGACTTTTAATTCCCTTTAATGTAATGAAATGTATTAAGGAAAAGGATAATACAAAATGTGACTGAGGTGACAGGGAACACTAGAACACTGTTAAGAAGTGTGCTCAGAATGTGAAGGTCTACAATCAATGTTGATTAGTCATAATCATAAAAATCTTGTAAAATCTACTAGCAAGAAAGTTGTTTTCAAACGTGCTGCATTTTATCTGCAGTGTTTCTGTATTGCTCATATTATCTGCTCCCAAAAATAAAAAAAATTGTTCATGCATCAGCACTTTTTTTGAAAACATCCATCATCAGCAAATAAAACGCTGCAGCTACAGTCAATTTACCATTCTCCTCTGTTCCTCCTAGAAAGAGCACATCCATATTGCCCACAAGGCTCCCGTTTGTATTGACTATAGGTGCGGCTTTCACGACAGGAGAAGTTTATGCCCTTGCTTCTTTGTTCACCAAACTTAAGTGTTGCTCATAGTTCTTTGGGGGGTTGTATGTGTTTGTGTCTCCAAGTAGTACTTTGCCCAGCGCAGACTCTCCATATCCTATGCTGGTTCTGACCGGTCCTCAAGGCTGTGGGAAGCGAGAACTGGTTCACAGACTGTGTCAGGAGTTCAGCGAATACTTTGCCTATGGGTCAGTCTCATACTTTCTGTACACATGTCACATGTCAAGGTCCAGTCATATGCTGAGTCATCAGAGGTAGTGGCAGTTAATAGGTACTAAAGTAAATAACTCAAATCAGCACATGCATGTTATGTAATTGTTGAATGTTGAAATAATTGATCTGCTCTAATTGTGTTATTTATGATGTAAAACATTATGTTAATGTTGATTGTAAAGCTGTCAAAATAAATTTCCACTCAAAATTTGTCATACAAAAAATGCCATATTTGTTGTATGACAAATAAAACAATTCTTGATCTATTTTACTTACTGCCATGGAATTCAAACAGCTACCCATGAAATTGATAAGGTTGAGTCTTGGAGACCAAATGAATCAGCTTGAAGTATACATATGTCAGATTGGGGCATTCTCAGTGGGACTTAATTAGGACTATCAACCATTTAAAGTGTTAATATAAATAATGTACAATAAATATTACATAATAGAAAAAAGGAACCATCTGCCATACATGTATCTTCAGGTAATAACATATCACTGGCTCTCACTTTGTGGTTGATTTTATTGACTGAAACGTTCCAGAAACCTTGTCACCGCTCAAAGCACCCCTACTGGTCCTCTTTAGTGGTTGTATTTTTTTATCACATACTTAGACCTCATAAATTATATGGCTGGATATCTTACATGACCTCTCCAGACTGAGTGTTTCTCTGCCTCGTGTGTGTGTGTGTGTGTGTGTGTGTGTGTGTGTGTGTGTGTGTGTCTCCACAGAACCTGTCACACCACAAGGGGGCCCTACTTTGGAGAGGAGAATGGAATTGATTACCATTTTGTCAGTGAGGAAGATTTTCAGAACATGATTCACATGGTGCGTAAGTTTTTTCACAGACCGTTGAAGTGACTACATGAGAACAAAATATACGTGTTTCAAGGTTATTATGAGTTCTGCACTCAAAACAATCTTAGACACTCAGTGTCATAAATAATGCAAGCCGATTAGTGCTTCCCACAAGTTAATTGTGTGATGTACACTGGGTTTTGAAAAGCAAGTCTTTCAGTGTCCTTGATGCACATAGCTCCTTCAGAAAGTTTCAGATTTAATTCACTCACTGGCAATAATGAGCTGAGTAGTTGAGTTAATTACTTTTACTTTTACCTGGTTGGTACTTAACAAAGATACATTTAGTTGAATTGAGCTTTTATGATAAGGTGTAATGGTTGTATTAATAAAATTTTACTTAACGAGGACTTACCAAAGCATCTCCTACAACGCTTGCCGTGCAAGTGATGATTATTAGTCTTAGACAACTGCACAAGGACACCAAGAGCTAATGGGTTTTAATATTACCAACATGTAGTCATTGGTCATTTGCTCTTTTCCTAGAAGATCAGCTACTGCAAGGCTCTGATTTGATATGCATGATCAGTTTGTATTTGTGTTAATCAACAGCAACTGGGAATTGTTCATTACACCAATGGTGTGCTCAAATGCTTTAGAGATAACAAAGTCGTCAAATGAGTGGACTTTCTTAGAATCTCTTAAAAAATAGGTGCTGAGGTTGGAGGTCTTGGACACATTTGTTTTCCATCTTGTCTCTCTTGTCAAGCTGCCTGTTATGTAAGAGTGGTGGGGGATGATGGATAGAGGCCTGGGTCATGTAGTGATTTACACAGCGAGGGCTTTGATGCTGGAATTTATGCCTTTTGTCTACTCCAACAGAGGAAGTGGATCAGGTTACTTTTACAGCCTGTCCCTCCCTCTACTTGATCTGTCCATTCTTCTCCTTCACCCTCTGTTCTTCTGTTGCCAGCTACTTGGTTTATCGCTGTTCTGTCCTCCCTTTGCTCTCACCTTTCATGTGTCAGCTGCCCGCTTCCTCTTGACTCCTTTTCCCCTCAGATATGCTTTTCAGTAGCTGCGCAATCACAACCTCTTTATCCCACTATCTTGCGGCGCTTCTGATACAAAACTGACCCCAATCAGCAGTCCTTGGTACTTATTGTACTGTGTTGTAAACACAAGGAACACCTGCTGTGCAATTTTGAAGTCTGTGTAACGTGTGGTAGTATGGATTCATAGTATCATTCAAGTATCGTATTTGTAATTGAGTTTTCCATGCTTGTTAGTAACCTGTTTAAGTAGGTTCAGGGACAATTTATTTATTTTTTATTCCTGTTTGACTTAGTATCTTCAGGAGACACATTTATTTTATGTAAATGATCAGTAAAAATGTACCTAAATTTAAAATGTAATGACTCACAGTTAAAGCTTTTTCTCTACATTCTTTTCAAGTTTTTCTTACAGTATGCATTTCTAAAAGGCAGAAAGGACAGAATTGAGGCTTTTTTTTAGGGGGAAAATTGCACAAAACAAAATAAAGCCAAGTTAGATTGCCAGTTTCTTGTTAGCATACTGTTCACTGCTACTGCCTCCACATGTGGCCATTTAATTGACAGGCCAGTTTTATCATTGATTTTACAAAGTCTGTGCTCTCTAATTGCTGTGATTTTCAATATAGCAAACCACAGTCATACAAAACCAAACAACACTTGGTAACAATGCAATTACATTTGCACAAACAGCTACTAAATTACAGTAATAAAATTAATACAAGATAACTTTTTATGGAATCATAAACAGTTTCAGTTTTATTTATATGTGTAGATTTGCTTTTGCTACCACAAACCAAAGAACGAGAATGACTTGTTTTAGTGCTGTCGCCAACTGCGTTGGATTTGGCCATAGGCTTGTTGAGAGTTATAAATTATGCTGTTCAAATAAAAGTGCCCCAAAAGCTGGGAGACAAAAGGTCAGGGGTCTTCTTTGTGAAGTAACAAAGAGAGAGATTTTTCCATTGACCACCGGTTCAAAAGTTCAGTTCACAGGGCATGCTACTTGGTTGTTAATCATGACTGAACATACTGGGGTTATGTATGTATGTCAAGTGTTATGTCCACTTTAGGAGATAAATGCTGCACATAAGTGTGGTAACATGATGAGTAGTGGGGCAATAAAGCGGTGGAGCACTAAAATGTCTTTTCATTCTTTCCCCTCATAATCTCTTCTAGGGTAAGTTTATCCAGACCATGCAGTATGGGGGTCACAGGTACGGTCTGACCAGAGATGCCATAGAGGATGTAGCCAGAGAAGGTCTAGCCTGCTGTGTACATATGGAGCTAGAGGTATGTATGGAGTACATCAAGCAGGCTAATACCATATGTGGTGAATAAAGCCAGTAGGCTGACATAAAGTAGAGATGAAGGATCTACCAGAAATGAATAGGATATATATATATGTATGTATGTATGTATGTATGTATGTGTATATATATATACATATATATACATATATATGTATGTATACCATATATACACATATATGTATGTGTATGTACCAGACTGTACTATTTGTTAGATATAGTTTCTATAGCACAACCAGTGAAATAAAAATTAAAATAAGCATTCGCCACAAGGTCCTGAAACAGCACGTTGTCTAATCCTTAAAAGGTCAATACATGGTTTTGTAACACATTGTAATGTAGTTGTAAGCAGGTATAAGTGTTTATTAAGGTATTGGTCAACAACTTAAACTCCTTCTGTGGGCACCCACCGTGTCCGTGTATTTCTAATGCAATACCATAGAATGTCTCTGTCTCCCTCTTTTTGCTTTTCTCTGCAGTGTGTGTGATTTTCAGTAGACCGCACAGAAGGGGCAGGGCGAGGGGAGATTGTCCACTAGTTAATCAATTGCGGATGGGTCTCCAAATATACTTTGACTGCTGTTAATATAGCTGGGCGGCCCGCCCAAGTAAAGTGAAGTGGGAAACACTGAAAGCTGATAACTAATATTTTCAGGATTCAGGATAAGACAGTGTGGAATCATACACATACATAGCACAGAGTGGATCAGTTTGAACAGTTGCAATAAACAGAATATCAAACCCTAATTGTAACAGGACTGAAAACTGTTTGTCTATCCTCGAAGGGTGTGTTCAGTCTGAAGAACAGCTACTTTGAACCTCGATACATCCTGCTCATCCCCACCCAGGTGGAGAAGTACATAGGCCACCTGAAAAGCCGTGATCTCTATACCCCAGCACAGATTGAGATGGCGGTGTCACGTGTGGAGCTCTACGTCAATACCAAAAGGCAACGACTGGGATTCTTTGATAATGTTATCCCCTGTGGTACGGCAAGAAAGTACTTTTTAGTATGTCATGGAATGCATTCCTTTATATAATTTGATGCTGTACTTATAAATTTAAGTGTGCATTACAGAGGATAATAATGGTAATTTAATATCCTCTAGTGGCTAATCAGATCAGTTTTACTATTAGTTAATGAAAGTTTCATTGTAGTACAGAGTGGAACTATAAATATTCACAATTAATTTCCACAGAAATGTATTTAAGGCACGAAAACACTTAATTGATTCCCCGGGGAAAACATTTTTTCAACATCTTATTCAATCTTTGGATATGATGTTAGTAAAAAAGACATTTGTAAGTCATGCTCTGTTTATAGTTTGTCATTGTAGTGCCTCACAGAGCGAAAAACTACCCTGCCATACCCTGGCTTAGTGCGGGTGTCATTGGAATAGCCTTAGATAAATTAGCACACTTCACTAAAATCCATACACTACACTTTCAATCCAATTACCACATGTATTAAGGGTTACGTACCCACAGAATAGCTGTGTTTATCATTCCCTCATGAAAGCACTTCAACATGTTAACTGTTCTTAATGAGATGAACATACAGGGACCACGGAACCTAATCACTTTTATGCACTGCTAGCTAGCACCTCATTACATTAAGGTCATCATGCCCATATCTTTGATTCATTACTGTTTGATGGGAGATGCATTGGCTCTGTTCACAACCAGTCTGTTTTGTGTGTGTGTGTGTGTGTGTGTGTGTGTGTGTGTGTGTGTGTGTGTGTGTGAGAGAGAGTAGATGACTGGGAAGAAGCCTATCAGACACTGAGGCAGGTAGTGAAGGAGTACCTTTTGCTAGAGGAGCAGGAAGAAGGACAAAACAACAACAGGGCATCCCCAGACAGCACCTCCACAGGTGTGTATTTGTTTGTTTATTCAGATCATTAGCAGACTCGAAGCATCAGGGCGCTATTCTTTTACAGCAAGACACAGGGTGCAAAATGCAGTCAAGTGCCTCTTGTACAGTTTTCACTATTTATTATTTTTTTACATGTCCAAGATTTACGACTAAGAGGAAGTAAACCTGTGAAAACAGACATATAATTTCTTCCTTGACTAAGGCGAAGATTGTGTTACAAAATGTGGGTGTGAAGTTTAAAAGATGTTAGCATTTACCAGACAGGAGGGGTCTAACACTAAAAGTCGGGATATCTTGGCCTTTATGGAAGTGCAATACTAAATCACTGAAGTGTCCATTTAACGCTGCCATAAATTTGATTTGTTGCTGTCTAAATATTAAAGTAATGTCTGTAACTCTTTTTCATGCTCTACATACAGTGTATTCTCTGTTTATACACATGCTGGCATACACAGTGTATGCATCTTTTGCCTGTATGTGTGTATGCTGTAACCATATACAGTATGAGACAGTTGACACAGTATCTCTTTCTCTCTCATCCTCAGGTAACGAGCCAGAGGAGAATCCACCCTCACCCCTGTCAAGGTCAGGATCAGGCACACTCACATCAAACTCTGCCACAGCTCTTGACACCTCAGATCCATCTTACAGAAACTATTTTACCAAGATCCAGGCAGAGCTAAGCCCTCCGAAGAGCCCCGCTGTGAGTTACAAGATGTCTGATGAAAAATGTATTGCTAACGCAGCCTGTATGTGAATGTTAAATAGACATCTAGACTTTATCAAATGTACAGGAAAATAATCCTCAGTCTTCTAACTGGATGCTGGCTTTCGTTCTCTTCCTGACTGCCATACATCATCACTCCCCTGCCCCACTTTCCTACTACTTCTTCTCAACTACTTCTCCTCCTTCTCTTCGTCTCTTTCCTCTGCAGGAGCTAGCTTCCATAAGGAGGCGTGAGCAGCTGGTAAGAGAGGCTATAGTGGGGAAGAGTCCAGGGGTCTACAGCCAGCTCTTCAAAAGGTTCATTATGAGTACCACACACTCCACTGCACTCCAGTGCTTAATTTCAAGTGGGGGCTTTCAGCTGGGTCAAATTGATTTAATTGGTGCACTTGTCCTAACTGCTTTTTGATGGTTTGTTTTGGGTTATTATTTGACCTTCAAGGTAAAGTGGCTGGTGCCCAAGGTATTTGAATCTGTTTGTTAATATGATGGGCTTGTGCAGTGGCACACTCCTATCAGTTGGCCTAAAATACTAGACCAAATCTGAATCAAAATCTGAATCTGAATCCATATGATTTATACTCGATGAAGAGGAATGATTGAATTAAGTCCTATTTTTTGTTTACCTCAGCTTTGCTCAGACAGCACCATCATCCCTGCATAATCATGATCCTGGTACCCAATTTAGTGAGGACAGCAGGTAAGAATATACACACACGCACAATACATACACATGTACAGGTCACAGAGTCACAATATTATTTATTTCACTCTGTATATTGTTTATATATATATATATATATATATATATATACATACATACATACATACATATATACATATATATATATGCTTTAATATGAAAGAATCCAGAGGTCTTGTGGTTTTAAAAAAACTATCTGAGCGAAGATTTGGGAGAAGGAAAAGGCTTTTGTTGTAGCATTCTTTAATCCCTAGGCCTGCTTTTTTCTTTTACAACATACTGTACATTCACTTTTATAGAGCTCTTTCTACTGTTACAAGCCATGTGGGGACAAGTCTATACACACATCCCAGACACATGCACAGACACACACTTGCTTACACACACATATATACTCACTCATAAATTCTAATTTTATTGCTTTTGCTGCTTTTTGGCTCCCCTGTGTGTACAGTTGCGCTCAATAAACAAGCTTACTGCTCAAATATGGATTTAATCAGTCAGGCGTGCACGCAGCAGCACACGCAGCTTTCCCTCACCTGTACAAATTAGCATCAAATTTATTTCGTATACTTTTTAAGAGGAGGACATTTAAGATACATGCAGAGACACAGCACATGTTCAGTCAAAATTAATTTGTTGCCTTTGGGTTTATGTTCTCAGAAGGCTAGTTTCACCAAACTTGTTGAAAATTTACAAGTTCTGTCAACGAGGTCGGAGCAATACATGCCCCCACTATGTGCTGATCGCATTACTCAGCCCTTCAGTATTTCTATAGAGGACTCCAGACATCTGTCTACACTGCTCTTAATAGGGATGTGCCTTTACTTGTGTGCCTATCTCACTTATTGTAACAGAGGATCCTTTTGTATTCCTTTTTGGGAAGTCTTGTGTGTGTGTCATAGACTCGTCTATATGAACAAATAAAATGACAAAAATCTGCACCTGTTTGTTTGATGAGTACCAATAGTCATCTCCAAATCGCTGTCACATTATTGATATCACTAATGTGACAATGTCATTTTCCATCCCGATGTTTTATTGTAGACATCGTCAGATGCCAATTTGATAGACATGCCCCAACCCTAATATATAGTAATATATATAAGCTGTGTAAGCATTTATTCTATATTATATTATACTTTATCTTACTTTTACTTGTTTGATTTTCTTTTTTATACATGTTGTTTGAGCATTGTTTGAGGGAGCCTAAGAATTAAGAATTTCATTGCCAAAGACTCCTTCACTGTAGTTGTGGATATGACTATAAAAAACTTTAAACTTTCTTTTCCTCCTTTCACAAGCAGCTCGAATGAGTCCCGTGCTAGTTCAGCACTGTCTGTGCCCAGTTCAGCCGGGGCCTTCTCTGGCTTAGCGGAGCCTCTAGATATATCTGTCCTGGGACACGCCTTGGAAACACTCAAAGGTTATTAATGTTTTTGTTTTTTTTGTTTATGATTTTAGGGTATTGTCATATATAGAACACAAAGAGAGGAGAGAGGTGTAAAAGACAGACACAGACACTTACAGTACACTTATTATGCTTTTAACACTATTCTAAATTATGCAAACTATATTTTTCATGTGTACTTTAGTTATTAATTTAGTAGTTTAAAAACTCTTGACTGTCTTTAAATCACCAAAACTGTATATCTTATAATAAGATAATCAAGCTGACTGTATTAACTTCTAAAGGTTTGTTGATGTGCTTCCATATCTATGCTTGTATCAAGCAAAATATTCCCATTTCATTCCATTCATCAGACCAAACTCCAGAAGCCCCCTGTCCAAGCACAGATCAGCTGACTGTGGACGTCTCTCCCTCTTCTGAGAGACGTCCTGGATCCAACGCCAAGGCCATCCTGCCACCAATCCCCACTGGACGCAAGACCCCTGCGCCACCCAGCCCAGCTCCTTCACCCGGACCCTGCCCAAACCCAGCAGGAGAAGGAGGAGATGCAGACAGGGAGGGATAGCTTAAAAGGTTTTAGGGTATCTGATATCTAACAAAATAGCAAAAATTCAGTAATTTTTATTAACATTAGAAGAAAATGAGATGATTTGTAATAAAAAATATAAAATATAAGCTTGGCATCTGCCTTGATATCTGCAAAAGTTAACAGTCAACCACAAAAACACAGATTTTTTGCTCTCTTACCATAAACTACACAGATTGTGATGCAATATGCCTAACCAAACACTTGATGTTAGATTTTACTGTCAACACTTGCCTTTTTCCTGTGACCTGATTGCTCATGCCACAACACGTCTGGATCTTTTGCACTTGCTATAGACTGTATACATGGCAAGTGATGGCATTAATAGCCATATATAAGGTGACTACAGTATAATTATAGGCAAAGTTGTGGCTTTCCTATTTGTGGAATTGCTCACTGGCCTGAGGGTATACAGTGTTGACACACATTAAGATTTAGGCTCAAACACAGACTGACGAGCATGTCTTTCAGTCATGATAAATATAGCACCGTGTTGAAGAAAATAGCTCTTCATATGAATATGTTCAGATTCAAGACTAAAGGAGGTATCTTGTTATATTGGAAAGGTGAACACAATATGTGGTACACACGTCATGTTTAATGAATTTTCTTGACAGTAAAGTGGCATTATATTTTCTACTGTTCACTAATCTCATCAAATATGATTTTCCATTGACACCTAGATACTGATCTTTTGTTTGAAACCGTGGAGCTCTTGTCATTGAATGATAAATACATCATTAATCTTTATCTCTTCCGATGGGATTATTTATTCAACTGGAAATGCATTCATATGGAAGTTGTTGACAGGTATTAAACAGTGAGCCATCACAAACAAGTTAGTGTGTGTGTGTGTGTGTGTGTGTGTGTGTGTGTGTTGCACAGAGCCTAGCACACGTGCACCCATATGTTTGTAAATTTTGTGTGTTCATTTTTGATTCATTGTAAAATGAAATTGTCATCTGTCAGATATATGCATTGCTTATTTAACACCAGTGTGCTTGTAGGTGCATGTGAATGTGCACATACAGTATGCATGTTCTGTTTCCTGGGCTGTATGTGTGAACGCAGCACTTCTACTCACACATACACACAAAACACACCTGGCCATCCATCACTGTCTGCCGTCCTCTCAGGCAGCAGATGTTGCAACCCTGTCATAATTCTTTGGCAGTTTGAAACCAGACAGTGTCTCTAGGGCCCCTGAGGTCTAACCTACTTACACCACAGTGTGCAAATCTTACTATAGCTTATCATGGACTGTTGTATTCGTGTGCATTAACATTACACTGGATAAAGCAATGTGCATGATGAATGTTTGCAAAAGCCTTTAAGTGTAGTATAGCATGAGGTACAGATGAGAGTATGAATGACTGTGATCTTTACTTCTTGTCATTCTGAATGTGTAATCATATTTAACCTCTGATAATCTACATGCCCTTGCCTCTGCTTGTTAATCTATTTTTCATGCATCTGTTTCTGTCTCTCTCATTGTGACCTGTTTGCAGTGTTCGATTGCGTGACTACAGCAGCTGCGTCAGTCACAAATGTTCACAAATGTTTAACTGGTGCAGTAAAGGTAGCTGTAATAGCAACAGCTGTATTTCTCTCTCACTGCTGCATCATAAAACACTGTCCATAACAAAAAAAGTTGAAACAGCATACAGTATGAGTGAACAACGCGCAACACTGTCTACTGAACCACTTGTTTTGCCTCACTTCAGCAGATGCTGAAAAATAAACATGTCACACACTTTCATCTAGACATAACTCCTCAATACAGCAACACTTTTAACCAAAGAGAAAAGGAGAATAAATTTTCTGTGAGAAACTAAGACTTGCTTGCATCTAAGATTTATGTCTGCAGGAATGAATTGTTGTGGGACAAATGCCGAAGCATAGTATCAATTTTCACAAGCCCGATGTTATGAATTCGTTTTTTATTATCTTTGTAAGACTTGAGCTACGGAAGGAAAAGGTATTAATTTATATTTTTGTTCCAGAGAGGATGCTGTAAGAAATAACAGAAATGGTAAGAAATAGCAGAAATTGGAAACAATAGTACATGAGTTTGATTGACTGAGTGGATATCACCCTTGGTTTTATGGGACTTTACTAAATGGTCCTACACTATATTATACTTTACTATATGGTACTACACAGTACTATATAGTAGTATGCAAAACTACCATATTAAACTATAATACACAATACTATACTGTTCTGTATTATACTATATTGAACAATACAACATTATATTATGATATTCTATTATCTATAGTACAATACTATACTACAGTATATTATACTAAACTGCACTATACTATACTAGCTTTTTTCATTATATAGGTAGACCAAGCATGTTTGTCTTGGGCTGGCTGTGAAACATGTCCTTTCTGCTTCTTCTCTTCTGTGTATTAAGATAAAAAGACAGAAGCAATGAGTGACGCATCAAAACATGAACCCAGATCTGACATCACACACAAACATCCAACTGTTTGCATTCCCACAACAAAAAACATCATATTCAGGGCTGTGTCAGATATTTCTCCCTTTTCTTATTAAAGAGGACTGTATTTTCTCTCTGCCATTTTATATGGCTGTCTTTCTGAGTGTGAATTCTGTGCACTATATAGTGCCCTAAAAATGTATGTCTACTTTCTGCGAACAATTCTTTAACTGCAATAATTTATTACATAAATTACAATGGGACACTACACTTGTCATTACTACTCAGTAAGTGTGAAATCTCACACACTGGCTCGCTAGAGTAAACGGTCAAGTTTCATGGTTCTTATTACATTTGATTTCTAGTAAATACAGTATATGCGCACTGATTACAAAATATGTGAAACATATTTATAAAAAGTAACACAAGTAAATGTGGTTTTAAAGTAGTTTCTTAAAAATGAAAATATATCTCCTGAAATGTTATTAGCTTTTCCTGTAAGAAATGGTCTTTAGGCAGCTAATGTATTCAGTCATGTTCAGGAGTCTGCTTCAGTTTGATATAATGATACTCTTCCATTGCCAGAACTATTTCCACACTCCACTTCACTTTGCCAACACAGGATAAAGCTCTGAACCTGTTGTCATTCTGAGATGATCTAGGTTGTTTCAAGTTAAATCATTAAAACCAATCAGAACTGTCAATGGTGGGCCTAAACTGTGTTATGCACACAGGTACTTAAAGGTACCATATTATCCTAAATGCACTTATTATCTTTAACATGAATATGTGTCCCTGGTGTGTCTAAAGAACCCTAAACTATGAAAAAAAAAAACATTGTTTCTTTTTTCTGTGTGCGCAAACACGCTGTTTGAATTTGGCTCCCTTCTTGACGTCATGGACTGATCTGTGTAGCACAGGACCTCCTCCAGATTGCTAGCTGCTCTGCCACTACTCCCTGTTTGGACTCTAGTTTCCTGATGGACTGAGAGCTTTACTTGTTGCTAACACTACTGTAACCACTACTGCTAACTGTAGCTGCTATTATCAGCTGACTCTGCCTGAACTAGGGGCCCCAGCAGTCCAGAGATCCTGAATTAACAGAGGTGTAAACACCAACACACCCCCAGAGCACCAATCTTCCAATCCGGGCAGAGTCAGCTAATGGGACAGCTAGCTGCATGGTTAACTTAGCTAACTAGCTAGTGGACAACCATTAGCAGTAGTTAGCTGCTAAAGTAACCGCTAACAATAAGTAAAGCTATCTGTCCATCTGGAAACTCAGTAAATCACCAAAGGTTGAGGCAGTACAGGGAAAACCTGAAAAAAAATTCTCCATAAAATATGATCCAGTTTCGCCAAAATCTGCGAATAAAGTTGTGTTTTTGTACTGTAGCAAGACCTATCTCTGATTCAGTGCTGTGCCAGCTAGTTCCTGCCCTTCTGCAGGCCTCCAGAAGTTGGCTAATCAGAAGAAAATGGGCTTTTTAGGGAGAGTGACCTTAAAGAGACAGGAGCTAACAGACAGGATATTCGGGCTGAGGTTGAATAGAGGTGCTGTAGCAATGGACAGTATAAAAAAAGTGAGAGAACAGAACATTTTGAACATTAAAGCATGTAAACATTTTCTAGTAGAAACCCAAGATCAAAGTATGAGCATATTATGGGACCTTTAAAGGTTTAAATGCTTATTTTTGGAAGTGAATCATAAACTTAGAGCTTCATTTCTCCATTCTCAACCCAATTTGACGAGGATCCTCGTTGCCTGTTTCTGCACTCTTTTTCAGACACCAGACCTTGTGACCCAGTGGCCACAACCATCAGTGGGCTTTATAAGCTGCCACGGTATGTCAAACAACTTTCAGTTAGGCATATACCCTGCTTTACAGCGACAGTGATTTGTTACTAGATACAGGGCCAGCAATTACTTTCCCTTATTGTGGGTTTTCTTTTAAAAATGTCTTGTGAAAAGAGAGGGAGGGTTATGAGGCTGAGAATGGACTTGGAAAATAGTCTATGAAAGTGCAATAATATGTTACAGGCGAAGCTGTAAACGTTGCGACTACCCTTCGCACATGTGGAGTGTACAGTGTGAGGGAGGAGCAGGGACACATCTACTCACTTCAAGCTCAAGCATGCACATGCTTCTTACAGAGATGAAATAATAGTCTCCATTTTTGATAGTGCCTGTTGCTCATAACCACAGTATTTAGCTGTCTCTGTGTCATTATTTAAAATACTTGTTTTCTCTATGTGAGGAAATCACAGGTAGAACATACAGTGAATCCACTTGAAACTGAGAACTGGTATTATTGGTACCAGAGATTGGTTAGCTAAAGGACAATGATAGGTTTTGACTGAACAGGTTTTGATTTTTGCTGAACTTGCTTTCTGATAACTGGACATTTGCTGACAGTACTGTATGTTGGAGCAGCTTGGAAGACTTACTGTAGCATTGACCTTCATATGCTGGACTCTCCACATTGCTCTAACATCACTTAACTAACTCTCACATTGGTGGACTGTACATTTACTCAAGTACTGTACACTTTCCAGGTGTTTGTACTTTACTTGAGTATTTCTATTTGATGCTACCTAGATTCCACTTCTGTTTCTACTTCTTTGACTACATTTCAGAGTAAAATATTATTAGTAACTAAGAACTTTTTACTCTATACATTTATCTTGACAAAGTAAGATTTTACACACAAAACATATGATTAGTTTGTAAACTATGTTGCATATTTAGTCTAAATCAAAACATTTAAATGCTGAGTACATGTTAATTCAGTTCAGTTATAATGGTCAAATAATAAAATATGTATCATAACATACTTAACACTCTAAAAGAGGCCATTATATATAATAAGAACCTTTACGTTTGATACAGTGGCACATTTTGCTGATGATACGTCTGTACTTGAGTATTTTTACAGCATAGTATTTTACTTTTACTCAAGTAAAGGATGAGAATACTTCCATCTCAGCCCTCACATCAAAAACACATGCTTTTAACCACAAAGACACATTAGTTTCTAATTCTACATTAAACCACATAGACAGGAACAAGGCAGAGTTCAGGGCACAGTTGGTCTTGTAAGATTTAGTTAATCAGGTTATGTGTGTTCCCCTTAATAACCAACCAAAGGAACACTTTCTTTAGGCCTTGATTTGAAGTGCTTATCTTCCCTTACCAAATAGGTTCTTTCAATATGTCATCATCCACCATAAGCATAAATGATGCTTCACCTTAAGGGTAAGATTGGAAGCTGTTACCGATGGCAAAGATTTAGCATTTTCAACAGCAACACTCTGGATTAATGTCTGCAACGTTTCTCTCTCTCTGTGTGCTTGTGTAGAGGATGTTGGAATAGGTCAGGGTGGTGATATAATAAAATCTTAAATAAGGCACACACACACACACAACATGCACCTCTGCATTAACTCTGCCGCATGATGTGGCGCCACACTCAGTAACTATGGCAACGGCACACTGCACTGCACCTCCCTATGTGTGTGTGTGTGTGTGTGTGTGTGTGTGTGTGTAACTGCTCGCTGTGTTCCCTGCGGACAGATTAATTCCCCGCCAGATTCATTCCTTGTCAACTTGCTGAAACAAAAAGTTTCTGTTTTAATTAGTTCAGTGCAGTGTCTCGCTTCATCTATCTGTATAGTGTCTCTCTCTCTTCCTCTCTCTCCTCCTTCTTCACTCTTCCTCTTGCTCTCTAGTGTAATTAAAGACAGTCATTGCAGATAATAGAACCATAATAGTGTGTAATTGCAATAATCAATACACAGTGCATACTAAGGAAATCGCAATTCATCAATCTACAGAAAGGAGGCAGAATATCTCACAGAGCACACGCACACTTGGTCCTCATTCATGTACATTATTATTATTATTTATGCTGTAATTGGTCATGTTGTGTTTGTCTTTAAGTAGCAAACATAAAAACAACTAGATTGTGGCTTTTCTGTACTTGTAGAGTATGCAGATCTTTCTACGTGTTAATGAAAGAGCTTTAGGGGTACTGGTAGGCAAATTTTGTTACCTTTGAACAAAGACAAGGTAGCTGTTTCGAGTCCTTATGCTAATCTAAGCTTACAGGTTGTTGGCTGTAGCTTCATTTTAACATACAGATACGA